CAACATGAGACACTTTAACATGAAAGACAACACGAGAGACACTTTAACATGAAAGACAACATGAGACACTTTAACATGAAAGACAACACGAGAGACACTTTAACATGAAAGACAACACGAGACACTTTAACATGAAAGACAACATGAGAGACACTTTAACATGAAAGACGACACGAGAGACACTTTAACTTGTACTTGAGTAAAAGTAGAAGTACTCAGATCTTGTACTTGAGTAAAAGTAGAAGTACTCAGATCTAGTACTTGAGTACAAGTAGAAGTACTCAGATCCTGTACTTGAGTAAAAGTAGAAGTACTCAGATCTTGTACTTGAGTAAAAGTAGAAGTACTCAGGTCTTGTACTTGAGTAAAAGTAGAAGTACTCAGATCTTGTACTTGAGTAAAAGTAGAAGTACTCAGATCTTGTTCTTGAGTAAAAGTACTCAGATCTTGTGCTTGAGTAAAAGTAGAAGTACTCAGATCTTGTGCTTGAGTAAAAGTAGAAGTACTCAGGTCTTGTACTTGAGTAAAAGTAGAAGTACTCAGATCCTGTACTTGAGTTAAAGTAGAAGTACTCAGGTCTGGTACTTGAGTAAAAGTAGAAGTACTCAGATCTTGTAGTAAAAGTAGAGTACTCAGATCTTGTAGTAAAAGTAGAGTACTCAGATCTTGTAGTAAAAGTAGAGTACTCAGATCTTGTAGTAAAAGTAGAGTACTCAGATCTTGTAGTAAAAGTACAGTAGAAGTACGCATGGCACAAAGGGAGGAGTGGGCCGGTCGACCCGCTAACCCAAAGCCCTGGACAGAGCGATGGATGAAGATTATCAAAAAAAAGTCAGAGTTTTCTGACATTTTCACAAAAAAAGTAATAATTCTCAGATTCATGATTTCTCTTCTGATAATTAAATGATTGGTTGTTGTGTTACTGTCTCCACATCAGACGTAACACATAATGACCGCAGGTGGAAAGGACAGAAGATGTGCAAAACCTCAGATCTCTCAGATAATCTCAAAATGCTCTCGGGTGTACCTGGAAGCCTCCCGGCAGTGAGGGCGTCTCCCGGCACGTGTCCGTTCACCCCATTGGTCGGCAGGTTGGCCATGTGACCCAGCATGCCGCTGCGCATCTCCAGTTACTATTGTACGTATTTATGTATTTTCAATGCAGTGTTTTTATATGTATTGTTCAAACTATTTAAAATAAAGTTTTCTAAAAAAGAAAAATGTCAAAACATTCAATCATTCAATCATTCTCAGGATTTTAATCAATCAATCAATCAATCAATCAATCAATCAATCAATCAATCAATCAATCAATCAATATTTATTTATATAGCCCAATATCACAAATGTTACATTAATCTCAGTGTACTTCACAGTTTGTACAGAATATCAGTATGACAATACGACACCCTCTGTCCTTAGACCCTCACATCGTACAAGGAAACACTTCCAGAGAAACCCCACAGTTTAAAGGGAACATGGGAGAAACCTCAGGGAGAGCAACAGAGGAGGGATCCCTCTCCCAGGGCCGTTCTCATTTCATCAAATTCCCCTCCTCGACTCCCCTCCTCGACTCCTATCCTCAAGACTTAGTCCCGCCCACAGGAGATGCGAGCGGAGGAGCCGAGGAGGGGGATTTGATGAAATGAGAACGGGCCCAGGACGGACAGACGTGCAAGAGATGCCGTGTGTATCCCCTTAACCCTTTAAATGCCTGGTTCATTATTTATTACAAAAACACCCAAAACCTTAATGATGACCCATATAATAATGAGTAGGGGGAGGGGGCTTCGGTGGTCATTAGAGTCTTGATATGTCAAACATTGATTTGACTGCATTTTTTTTTTTTTTGACTCTCAAATACTGTGTTATTTTGTATGTATGTTACTAATGTACGTATTTATGTATTATGTGTATTTTCAATGCAGTGTTTTTATATTTATTGTTCAGTTTTTTTAAAATAACGTTTTCTAAAAAAGCAGCAAAATCTCCTTCCTGTTTGAAACCTGCTGAAGGAAGACAGCACAAGTGTGGAAACTACAGGAAGTACTTGGTCTGAGACGGGGCTCTGAGTCTCTGGGGTTGCGGTCGAATAGTCCAAAAAACAGCTCCTAAGTTCTAACCCTATCGTCTATTCCTTGACCTCGGAGTGAAAGGTCACAGGGTTAAGGGATAGTGGATAGGAGAATTCAAAAGGACTTAGGAGAAGAGACTGCGGTACTTTAGAGAATCGACTGCACTTTCACTATCCGACGTGTTTATGATGCGCCAGCGGACGTCATGAATGTGCGTCTGCTGCTGTGGGGAAACTATGGAAACTACAGTTTTCTATACAGCGGACTACAACATGGATGTTTAATAAGAACGAGGGACTACTGTAAACTCATCTAGAGACTCTGCACCGTGCTCTGATGCTGTTGCTTTATGAACGGGGACAACAGAGAAACATATTCTTCATGACCAAAGTTGGAATTGAAATAAAAAAGGAAAGTGAAACTTATGCTCGTCACCCTCTCCCTCCGGTCCACATTAATACAAATGATCCCAATACGTATGATTGCATGAAAAGATCTTAAAATCAATACAAATGTATTTATTATAACCGTTAGTCCTTAACATCTATCACTGTGTATATCACCATTCAAACATCTTTTAAAAGTTGAACAAACCCCACACAGCTCAGTAAAGACTGTGAAATGTTGACTTTATTTGATCATTTCAGTAAAAACTAACGTTCATATTTCTCTTTTTGATTATAATACTGATGAACGTTCAAAACAAAGCACTTTGGCAACTTACCACATACGTTTTAAAAAGCTTAATAAGCACCGTAACTTTCATGATATCATTTCTCGTTCATAATCGGTTGTTTCCGTGAACGGCCGACTGTTGTGTGACGGCAAATGCCGCGGCCGCAAGGCATTGTGGGGCAGCATTTTCTCCTCTCCTTTCGGTTAGGGAGGTCCAGTGGTTCCTAGGCTAAAGGAGGTTATAAAGGAAGTTTGAAACCTCCTTTCCTTTAATTTAGAGAATTCGAACGGCACTTATCATGGCTGCCACTGAGGGACTTCCGGGTCATTTCACTCCGTTAAATGGACTATAGAGTGGCGAAGTCCCTCCCCTTCCGGTGGACCTCCATGGGACCTTATTTCGGAAAAAGTATGTATTGAAGTCAATGGAGAGAGAAAGATTATCTTCCGATCCCGTTTGAATTGTGCCACGAATTACACATATGATGTTTGTCAATTTAAAAGATAATTCTGCAAGTCAAAAAAAAAAAATGTGTGGTAAAACTGTGAAGTAACACATTTGTTTGTGTGAAACGCTCAATGAACTACATCTCTGGTCAACCACACACGTCACCAAGATGGCCGTCACTACTGTCTTGTCAACAAAACGATTGACTACCCTCACTATCACCACAATGAAACACGTCCTGAAGAAAGTCATGCAAAGCTGCCTGCCTGCCTTCCTTTGATTCTCTCTGAACTGCCTGGTCTTTTAATGTTTAATGTCAACCATTTGTGCAGATAGCATGAAGTAGAGGAGATCGCTAGCGTTATCGTTAGCATTTGTCCCCCGGGATTAAATTGTGTATTATAGAATGATCACACCGGTGTGACAGTACTCTTCAAAGGGTTCACGAAATATGACTACTACTCTTACTGTTTAACATTTTGGGTTACTTAATGTTACTTCATGTTAAGGCTAATAAAAATGACAAGGCTGTAATGCTAACTAACGTGCTAGCTACTAGCTAGGTAGCTAACTTGATCAAGCCACTCCTGGTCCTTTCATCAGACGGGAAGCAAAAGAACGAGCAAGACCCATTGCTGGTATGATAACAACCTGGTACTAAGCACACAGGCATCTTGTTAAAGTTATCTTATCTTAGCCAGCGCCATATAGATAGATTATATCTATATGGCGCTGATCTTAGGTATCTGAATGGTGGAGGTAAACAATTGTGACATCACATCACTCTGGGATTTGTAGTCTTTCTAGTTGCGTATTTTTCATAGTCTTATATTTCAACAGTTTTACGACAAACTGTGACTTTTTTGACATGGAAATGATTTTTTAAGATTGACAAACATCATATGTGTAATTCATGGCACAATTCAAACGGGATCGAAAGATAAGTTTTCTCTCTGCATTGACTTCAATACATTATTTTTCCGAAATAAGGTCCCATGGGGCGGAAGTAGATGGGCGTGACTTCGCCACTCTATTCGACCGCAACCCCGGGGGTGTTTCTCAATCTCGAGTACGCTTGCTTGGTAGCACATGTCTGCCGAGCATCTTGCTTCAGAAGCGAGTCAAGAATACTTCCTGGCATTCGGAAAACTAAGAGTGGAACACGCTAGCAAGTGTGCAGGTGTGCGTCATATGAGAGGCCCCGCCTTACATCTTCCGCCACAGATTTGGGGAAATTGGTCCGTGCGCAAAGCATTGTGGGGATTTTAAGACCGCGAAGTCTACTCATGTGCAGCCTCGATATTTCTCCAAACGGAGTACCCCGGGCTCGGTAGATTTCCAAGTATGCTGGAGATTGGAACAGTACTTCGGCGGCACTCGATGATGTAGTATGCTTGAAATAGTGGCTCTGAAGCAGCTTTACTCGCGATTGAGAAACACCCCGGGTCTTGTCCCCAAAAAGGGGCGTGTTCTGCGTAGAGGGAAAGTACCCGGATGAAAACAGAATTTAAAAAACAAAAGGAGAAGAGTTGACAAGTACGAAGATGAGAAGAAAGGGCTAGCTACTAAGTTAGCAAACGAAACACTCAGCCTTGTTCTGGGGAATCTGCTAGGGACCTCAGAGAGTCTTTAGCCTGCTGAACATATTCTTAGAAGCAACCAGAATTACAGAAATATATATTTATTTTTTCTCCTATTTAGTTATCAACACCTTTTATTTTATTTTTTAATTAATTTGCATTTCTATTTTTCCCTTTTTATTTATTTCCTAACCCAACCGCCAAACCCCGAAGAAGAAGAAGAAGAATTGTGTATCTGACGTCACTTCCCGTGCTGCGCAGAAGAAGACGCAGACAACATGGCGGCGGTAGAGAAGTCCACTAAAGATCGTCTCCTCTCAGTTCTGGAGGATCTGGAGGTTTTATCTCGGTACAGTTTACTCTTTATTACTCTTTATTACCCCCTCCTTCATGGCGCTCTCTCTAGGGATGTTTCTGTGTTAGTGGTTCTCCTGGGGAACCCATCTGAGAGGAGCCGGGTGTTGTGTTTATATCATTCACAAATTAATCAGTACACAGTACACTGAAGAGGTAACTGGTGTACTTTTCCTCCACTACATGTATGTAATACCTTTAGTTACTTCACAGATGTGGATGAATGATGTGAAATATAACCAAGTGTTAAATCAGACTTTAGTTCCACCTGGAGTAAATCCACAAGCTACCCTGCAGTATACAAAGTCATTCAAACTAGCTGCACCTTTACCAGCTTTGAGAACACTTTCATGATCAATCATTATAAAACATATCATATATATTATTCTGAAATGGACCAATCTGCACAACGACTACTTTTACTGTCGCTACTATAACTATATTTTGATGATAATACTTTTATACTTTCACTTGAGGAACATTTTGAATGCAGGACTTTTACTGTAACAGAGTATTCCTACACTCTGGTACTTCTACTTTTACTCAAGTACAAGATCTGAGTACTTCTACTTTTACTCAAGTACATTATCTGAGTACTTCTACTTTTACTCAAGTACAAGATCTGAGTACTTCTACTTTTACTCAAGTACATTATCTGAGTACTTCTACTTTTACTCAAGTACAAGATCTGAGTACTTCTACTTTTACTCAAGTACAAGATCTGAGTACTTCTACTTTTACTCAAGTACATTATCTGAGTACTTCTACTTTTACTGAAGTACAAGATCTGAGTACTTCTACTTTTACTGAAGTACAAGATCTGAGTACTTCTACTTTTACTCAAGAACAAGATCTGAGTACTTCTACTTTTACTCAAGTACAAGATCTGAGTACTTCTACTTTTACTGAAGTACAAGATCTGAGTACTTCTACTTTTACTCAAGAACAAGATCTGAGTACTTCTACTTTTACTCAAGTACATTATCTGAGTACTTCTACTTTTACTCAAGTACAAGATCTGAGTACTTCTACTTTTACTCAAGTACAAGATCTGAGTACTTCTCCTTTTACTCAAGTACAAGCTCTGAGTACTTCTACTTTTACTCAAGTACATTATCTGAGTACTTCTACTTTTACTCAAGTACAAGATCTGAGTACTTCTACTCAAGAACAAGATCTGAGTACTTCTACTTTTACTGAAGTACAAGATCTGAGTACTTCTACTTTTACTCAAGAACAAGATCTGAGTACTTCTACTTTTACTCAAGTACAAGATCTGAGTACTTCTACTTTTACTGAAGTACAAGATCTGAGTACTTCTACTTTTACTCAAGTACAAGATCTGAGTACTTCTACTTTTACTGAAGTACAAGATCTGAGTACTTCTACTTTTACTCAAGAACAAGATCTGAGTACTTCTACTTTTACTCAAGTACATTATCTGAGTACTTCTACTTTTACTCAAGTACAAGATCTGAGTACTTCTACTTTTACTCAAGTACAAGATCTGAGTACTTCTCCTTTTACTCAAGTACAAGCTCTGAGTACTTCTACTTTTACTCAAGTACATTATCTGAGTACTTCTACTTTTACTGAAGTACAAGATCTGAGTACTTCTACTTTTACTCAAGAACAAGATCTGAGTACTTCTACTTTTACTCGAGTACATTATCTGAGTACTTCTACTTTTACTCAAGTACAAGATCTGAGTACTTCTACTTTTACTCAAGTACAAGATCTGAGTACTTCTCCTTTTACTCAAGTACAAGCTCTGAGTACTTCTACTTTTACTCAAGTACAAGATCTGAGTACTTCTACTTTTACTCAAGAACAAGATCTGAGTACTTCTACTTTTACTCAAGTACAAGATCTGAGTACTTCTACTTTTACTCAAGTATCAGACCGGAGTACTAAGTAATAAAACATGATATTTGTGTTTCTCTCAGGGAGCTGATCGAGATGTTGGCGCTGTCCCGGAGCCAGAAGCTTCCGCAGCCTGGGGAGGACATCCGGGTACACACACACACACACACACACACACACACACACACACACACAGTATATTTGTTGTCTCCCTGGTGCAGAGGGACCAGGATAATATATATATTATTATTCAAGTATATGTGTGTGTCTCAGGTCCTGGAGCTGCTGGTGCAGAGGGACCAGGAGCTCCAGGACCTGATGGAGGTGGCTCAGCAGCAGGGGAAGGTTCAGGAGGAGATGCAGCTGCTGGAGAAGGAGGTGGAGAAGAGAGACAGCGACATCCAGCAGCTGCAGAAACAGCTGAAGGAGGCCGAGCACATCCTGGTGAGGCTTCACATTCACACCAATCAGAACACTCGTCCCACAGAGGGGACATAAAGCTGTGTTACAGCACAAACGAGCCACAGACAGCTTAAAGGTCTCCTATCTGCTTACTTAAACTTAAATTAAAATGTGCATCTCAACGTCAGGATGCAGCGTCAAAATATGGATCTACATTTATTTATTCTGTGCAACAGTCGAATTTTAAGTTTATTGAAAGTATTTTTTACTCTTTCTCTCTTTTTAAAATGCCTCTTAGATTCTAAAAAGCCTGTTAGTTCTCCGGGATGTTGGAGTAGTGACCCAAATCTGTGATTGGTCCTTGCTTTGGGCGGAAAGGGCTTTAAAAGTCCTTGAATTTGATATTTAGGGAGTGGTGTGAGCCCTGTACAGTAGGGCCTGTAACAGACGGTGAAACCTCAGTAATGGCGCATTTCCACTGCAGGGCCTCGCTCGGCTTAGTATGGTATAGTTAGGACTGGCTCACTTTATGCTGCGTTTCCATTACAGTTTAGGAACTGGGGTAGTAACTATAGTAACGCAGTGTAGGCGGAGCCGTGACGTCATCTTCAATGAGAACCCCAGAACCAACACAGCCGTTAGCTGTTAGCACTCAGAGCTCACAGCTCCTCATATCTGTTCAGAAACTAGACAAAAGTTAAACAAGTACAAACCACAGACTGCCTGTGTCATGGTGAATACAGTCGCTGCTTTATTTATGTCTGTATAGGCCGTTGTTGTGAGTGTGGACGGTCGGAGCATATACTGCGTTAGCTTAGCCAATCTCCATTCAGAAAACACGCATTTTAAAAGGTTTTTCGCCTGCCGTCCGTCTGTCTGAGCATCATCTCCTTAGTAACAGCTGGAAGAGAGGGGGATGTGGCTACAATGATCTGTTTGCTGTTTTTATATATCTGAGACCTGTAATATATCTGCCTCAACATAGTATAACAGGAGACCTTTAAATCTAAGCAGAGTCCTCTTTGTTCCCAGGCGACTGCAGTGTACCAGGCGAAGGAGAAACTGAAGTCCATCGACAAAGCCAGGAAGGGTGAGCAACGCTTCCTGATGAACGTGATGTCTTTACCTCTGTGTGTTTTAGTGTCTGACTCTCTCTCTCTCTCTCTCTCTCTCTCTGTCTCTGTCTCTGTCTCTCTCTCTCTCTGTCTCTGTCTCTGTCTCTGTCTCTCTCTGTCTCTCTCTCTCTCTGTCTCTGTCTCTCTCTCTGTCTCTGTCTCTGTCTCTGTCGCTCTCTCTCTCTCTCTGTCTCTGTCTCTCTCTCTGTCTCTGTCGCTCTCTCTCTCTCTCCCTTTCTCTCTCTCTCTCTAGGGAGCATCTCCTCAGAGGAAATCATAAAGTACGCTCACAGGATCAGCGCCAGCAACGCCGTGTGTGCGCCGCTCAACTGGGTCCCCGGTAGGAACCACTTCCTGTCTGTCTGTGTTCCTCGTCTCTATTATGATGATTCAGTGTTTAATAGGAAATAGAAAACCGACCCAGTGCTTCTGGAAGCGGTGAGAACAGAAGGATCGATGAAGCATGGTTCCAGCAGAGTCAAGCTCCAGAAGCAGCTCAGTGTTCATTGATATAGATAGTATCTTCAAGAGATAAGTGTAGCATGTTTAGTGTGATGGTATCACAAGTAGAAGTATATATTGCTCAGTCTTTGGGTTACGTCCCAGCTCGTTGGGAAAAGGGAAGCAACACAAAACCAGATGTTAGTTGTTTAATGAAAACTCAATTTAAAGGTTCATACAAGCAGCCTTAAAAACAAACAAACGCAACGTAGATATGCTCTACCTGCTTTTAAGACACATTTTTTTCTATGGTGTAAATGTGAATGATCCCCATCCAGGTGTGCTTTCTTCCTGTGTGTTCCTGCCCGTGTGCATGACAGAAGATGCTCAGAACCTATTGCCCCTTGCAGGGTTAATAAAGTTGTTGATTGAACCAGGAAGCTGTTTTAATGACTTCTCATCAGAAACCTGGTAACACACCTGTTGTTTCAGGTGACCCCCGCAGGCCGTACCCCACGGACCTGGAGATGCGCAGCGGCATGCTGGGTCACATGGCCAACCTGCCGACCAATGGGGTGAACGGACACCTGCCGGGAGACGCCCTCGCTGCCGGGAGGCTTCCAGGTACACCCGAAGAGACACGTCTTCTGTCCTTTCCACCTGGGGTCATTATATGTTACGTCCCCAAGATGTGGACACAGTAACACAACAACCAATCATTTAATTCTCAGAAGAAACAATTATGATTCTGAGATTTTCAGAGAAAGTCTGATAATTATATATAACAAAAATAATGTTGAGAAAAAAGTCAGCATTTTGAGATTTTGAGAATAAAGTTAGATTTTCAAAAAAGAAATCAGATTTCTGAGGTTTTGAACATCTTCTGTCCTTTCCATCTGGGGTCGTTACATCGTCGTTACATCCCCAAGATGTGGAGACAGTAACACAGCAACCAACTCATTTAATTCTCAGAAGAAAAAATTGTGATTCTGAGATTTTCAGAAAAAATACAGAATTCTGAGATTTTCAGAATCATCACATTTTTGGGGATTTTCATTTGAAGTCAGCATTTTCTGAAAAAAATTCAGAATTTTGAGATTTCGCTCTCATATCTCTCACCTCTCTCTCTCTCTCTCTCTCTCTCTCTCTCACCTCTCTCTCTCTCTTCCCCCCCCCCCCCCAGACGTCCTGACCCCTCACTACCCGTGGCAGTCTTCAGATGTTTCCGTGTCGATGCTTCCTCCTCACCACGGCAACGACTTTGGCCTGGAGCCTCCGGGTCACAACAAGGAGAACGAGGACGACGTGGAGGCCATGTCCACCGACTCGTCCAGCAGCAGCAGCGACTCCGACTGAACACACAGAGAAAGTGTGTGAGAAAGTGTGTGTGTGTGTGTGTCAGAAAGTGTGTGTGTGTGTGTGTCAGAAAGTGTGTGTGTGTGTGTGAGAAAGTGTTTGTGTGTGTGTGAGAAAGTGTTTGTGGTAAAAATAAATGTCACTTAAATATCATGAAGCAGCAAATGTCCAGATGTAAGAATTTGGAAACAGCATTCAGAGAGGAGATGTTACCTAATAGATCGGGAATATTTGATCCAATAGGAATGGCAGCTAAGGGGTCTTGAGATAGAAAATGGAGCATGCAGTAAATATCTGAAGCTCCAGGAGCTCATTTGAAGATGTACCAAGAAGCTCCACTCTCATTAAAGCCGAGTTAACCTTCATTAAGCCAGCTGAGATCTTCAGTTCCTTGCTACGTTTTATTTAATAAGCTCCAAGATCTAAGTACATTTTTAGGGTAGCATTTAGTTCTACTTTACATTCAGCTTCACAGGAGAGATTGGGATCTTTCCTCCTCCACTTTCTGGTTTGGGGAAACACGACGAGGGGAAGGACTACAGTTGTTCCTGTAATGAACACTGCAGTGAATCTGACCTGCTCGTGTCCCTGCATCCTGAATGAGTTTGATTAAAAACCAATACACAGATTTGGGCTTCATCAGAATGGGTTTCTGATGAAGCCCAAATCTGTGTATTAGTTTGTAATCAAACTCTGGGTGAGTCCCCTTCTCTCCGGTGACCCGTGTTTGAATCTCTGAGAGAATCCGTTTTGTTAATCTGAGCGTCCCCCTCTGTGTGTTTGTTAAATGCCAATATAGACTCACGCTGTAGTTCTCTTCTGTGTAAATAGTGTTGTACATAATCTGCCTTGTAAATAAATCATTTTTTTGAATAAAGACTGTGAATTTTGAGATTTTCAGACATATCTGAATTTTGAGATTATAGAAAAGTCAGAATTTTCGGATACAAAAATTGTGATTTTCTTAGAAATCCGAATTTTCAGATAAAAGTAAGAATTCTTAGATTTCCAGAAAAAAATCAGGACTTTCAGAAAAAAATCCTGATTTTCAGGAAAAATCAGAATTTTGAGATTATCAAGAAGAAATCAGAATTTTCGGGAAAAAGTCAGAATTCAGATTTTTTTTCTCAGAACAAAATCCCCCAATTGACATGTGGCCCTAATCCTCTTCCGTAGATATACCATCTATAGCAGGTAAAATAAATACATAAAAATAAATTAAAAGAAAAAATTATAAAAATTAATTATTTCTGTAATTCTGGTTGCTTCTAAGATTTGTTTCAGCAGCTTAAAGACTCTGAGGTCCCTAGCAGATTCCCCAGAGCAAGGCTGAGTGTTTCGTTAGCTAACTTAGTAGCTAGCACTTTCCTCTCATCTTCGGACTTGTCAATTATTTTTCTTTTTTTTAAATTATGTTTTCATAGAGTCCCTCCCCTTCCGGTGGACCTCCATGGGACCTTATTTCGGAAAAATTATGCATTGAAGTCAATGGAGAGAGAAAGATTATCTTTCGATCCCGTTTGAATTGTGCCACGAATTACACATGATGTTTATCAATCTTACAAAATAATTGCAAGTCAAAAAAATAAAAATGTGTCGTAAAACTGTGAAGTAACACTTTTGTTTGTGTGAAACCGCTCAATGAACTCCATCTCCCATCTCGCACCACACACCCAGACGGCCGTCACGTTGGCACATCTCACTTCTTTCTTTCAGAATGAGGCGGAAAGTATTAAAAGAGGTGAAAATCACTCCAAGTCTGGGCATGTTGAGAGCTGTACATACACACAAGGGGAGTTAGTCGGTTCCTAAGAGCCAGCATGCGGGACCGGGACTCTGGGATTTGTAGTCTTTCTAGTTGCGTATTTTTCATAGTCTTATATTTCAACAGTTTTACGACAAACTGACTTTTTTGACATGGAAATTATTATTTAAGATTGACAAACATCATATGTGTAATTCATGACACAATTCAAACGGGATCGAAAGATAATCTTTCTCTCTCCATTGACTTCAATACAACATTTTTCCGAAATAAGGTCCCATGGGGCGGAAGTAGATGGGCGGGACTTCGCCTCTCTATGGTCATCGCATCCGGGTACTTTCCCTCTACGCAAGGCCACGCCCCTTATTGGGGAAAGACTCGCTGTCATTAAAATGGCGGTAAATACAATAAAACATTTAGAAAATTGCGCTTTTCTTTTATTTACAAGAAGCCCAGTTATGATGGACAGACAGGCAAACTATGAGTATTTGTTAAATGTAGTATTGATAACTTAAGTAACACCATGAGCTCAGCAGCTACGGTGCAGATATCTCAATGAAAACTGAAGTCCTCCTCCAACAGAGCAACAGGAATATATATAGGACATAGAACTGATCAAATAGTGCAAGAGAATGTTTTGAGATGTGCAAGTAAATACAAATATATATGAAATAGTGCAAGGAGAGTCTATATACAAGTACATGGAATATGATATGTAGATGAATAATGTTCAAGATGCAAACGGATGAATGTAATGGATGTTCTTCACAGAGTTCAGGTGTTTAAAGGTCCCATGTCATGCTTTTCTGGTTATTCTGGTTTCTCTTTTTCCATTGTTTACTTCTTGGGTATAGTGACGTAACGTAACGTCCGCGGAACCGTTACGTTTGGACCAATCCGCGGACTTCCTCACACACACACACTCGGCGGGACGTTGCGAGGCTCTGCGGGACACTGTGAGCTGGGGTCGGCGTGAGTTTGGAAAATTGCACAATATAAATGGAACAATGGAATTATCATCAGTAGTTCTGGCCATGACATGGGCCCTTTAACAGTCTCATGTCCTGTGGGATGGAACTGTCATCTCATATAATAATACACTGTAGTTTGCCATATACTCATTGTCCTTAGTGTTTTTGTTTTTTAGATTTTAAGGTTATTTGTATAGTTACATTTATTACTACTACTACTACTAATACTTGTCTTTAAATCCTATTTTTTATTATCCTTATATATTTATTTTGTTAGCCTACCTACTTGGCAACTTATTTTTTTAGATCGTGTATGTTCGCAGATACCAAAGCTAATTCCTCTTATGTGTAAACGCACCTGCAATAAACCTTATTCTGATTCTGATCTGAGTACTTCTTCCACCTCTGATATTTGGGTACAACTTCTACAACTGTATCATTATTAGTATTATTTTGATTGTCAATTTATTGAACATGTTAGACACACAACTCTATTCTATTTTCAAATGCTTTGAACTGAGAGTGAGTGTGAGACACGATATTAATGGTTGACAATAACTGGCCTCTGGTCTTAATACTGGTGGGAGAGGTTTAAGTCCATTTCTGTCAATATCATGGACTGTGACATTTATAGGAAATCTGGCTAAGCAGAGGTGTGTGTGTCTATGGGAGGGTGTGTGTGTCTGTGGGAGGGTGTGTGTGTGTGTGTGTGAGAGGGTGTGTGTGTGTGTGTCTTTGAGTGTGTGTCTGTGTGTGAGAGGGTGTGTCTTTGAGTGTGTGTCTGTGTGTGAGAGGGTGTGTGTGTGTATGGGAGGGTGTGTCTTTGAGTGTGTGTGAGAGGGTGTGTGTGTCTGTGTGTGAGAGGGTGTGTGTGTCTATGGGAGGGTGTGTCTTTGAGTGTGTGTCTGTGTGAGAGGGTGTGTCTTTGAGTGTGTGTCTGTGTGTGAGAGGGTGTGTGTGTCTGTGTGTGAGAGGGTGTGTGTGTCTATGGGAGGGTGTGTCTTTGAGTGTGTGTCTGTGTGTGAGAGGGTGTGTGTTTCTGTGTGAGAGGGTGTGTCTTTGAGTGTGTGTGGGAGGGTGTGTATTTGAGTGTGTGTGTGTGTGTGTGTGTGTGTGTGTGTGTCTGTGTGTGAGAGGGTGTGTGTCTATGGGAGAGTGTGTCTTTGAGTGTGTGTCTGTGTTAGAGGGTGTGTGTGTATGGGAGGGTGTGTCTTTGAGTGTGTGTGTGTGTGTGTGTGTGTGTGTGTGTGTCTGTGTGAGAGGGTGTGTGTTTCTGTGTGTGTGTCTATGGGAGGGTGTGTGTTTGAGTGTGTGTGTGTATGTGTGTGTGATATGGTGTGTCTTTGAGTGTGTGTGTGTGTGATATGGTGTGTCTTTGAGTGTGTGTGTGTATGTGTGTGTGATATGGTGTGTCTTTGAGTGTGTGTGTGTGTGTGTGTGAGATGGTGTCTTTGAGTGTGTGTGTGTGTGTGTGTGTGTGATATGGTGTGTCTTTGAGTGTGTGTGTGTGTGTGTGTGTGTGAGATGGTGTCTTTGAGTGTATGTGTATGTGTGTGTGTGTGTGTGATATGGTGTGTCTTTGAGTGTGTGTGTGTGTGTGAGATGGTGTGTCTTTGAGTGTGTGTGTGTGTGTGTGTGTGTGTGTGTGTGTGTGAGATGGTGTCTTTGAGTGTGTGTGTGTGTGTGATATGGTGTGTCTTTGAGTGTGTGTGTGTGTGTGTGTGTGTGTGAGATGGTGTCTTTGAGTGTATGTGTATGTGTGTGTGTGTGTGTGATATGGTGTGTCTTTGAGTGTGTGTGTGTGTGTGTGTGTGTGTGAGATGGTGTCTTTGAGTGTATGTGTATGTGTGTGTGTGTGTGTGAGATGGTGTGTCTTTGAGTGTGTGTGTATGTGTGTGTGTGTCTGTGAGATGGTGTCTTTGAGTGTGTGTGTGTGATATGGTGTGTCTTTGAGTGTGTGTGTGTGTGTGTGTGTGAGATGGTGTCTGAGTGTATGTGTATGTGTGTGTGTGTGTGTGAGATGGTGTGTCTTTGAGTATGTGTGTGTGTGTGAGATGGTGTGTCTTTGAGTGTGTGTGTATGTGTGTGTGTGTGTGTGTGTGTGTGTCAAGGCATACAAATAAAAACACAAGTTCTTAAATTGTTTCCTTCATGTTCAAAATAAGTCTCGATTTAAAAGTCCTCCTGAGTTGAGAACTCGTTATGAAAAACCAAAACACACACATCATTAAATCGGTGTATTGATGGGATATAGTGAAGTGGTTTGCCCACAGCTCCGTGAGTCCTGACCATAAACACATTCTGACTTTAATCCATGTTTCCACCTGACGCCATT